TTACAGAAAAATTTCACTTTTGTGTAATTTTGCTAAAGTTCTTGAAATCATTTTGTACAATCGCATCTATATGTCTACTAAAAACATATTATTAATAGAACAGCATGGCTTTGTATCTAATAGATCAACTACTAGTAATATTCAGTCAAACAGTTTCTAATATTCTAGATGAACGAGGACAGGTAGACGCTTTGTATACCGATTTTACCAAAGCCTTTGATCGCATCGAGCATCAATTACTCTTACAGAAATTAGCAAAGTATGGATTTAATTTAAAATCTATTAAATTATTTTCAATCATATTTAACAGGCAGACAACAATATATATTCTACAATGGATATAAATCGTCAATATACTTCCATTTCCGGAGGGCCACAAGGTTCTAACCTTGGGCCTTGACTGTTTCTATTATTTATTGACGATTTATCCACCGAATTGAAGTGCGACATTTTAATCTTTGCAGATGGTTTAAAAATCTTTAAGAGCATAAATTCCGTAAACGATTATATATATCTTCAAGAAAACCTTAACATAGTCAGCAAGTGGTGAGGCCTGAACAAAGTTGGTATCAATGCTGCTAAATGCAAAGCAGTGCCTTAGACAAAAAATTGCTTTAACTACAACTATAGCATTAATGACACTGTTTTAGAGCGCATACAAACAATTAAAGATTTAGGTATATATTTTGATTCTGAACTGAGTTTTGTCGAACATATACATATCAAATCTAAAGAGGCAACCAAAATGTTAGGATTTATTATGAGAAACTGTAAATCATTTACTAATTTAAATTGTTTAAAATCATTACATTATTCTTATGTACGATGAAAATTTGAATACTGATCCATAATCTTGAACCCTTACTATTTAGTTCACAAAAGCGCGTTAGAGTAAGTTCAAAGAAATTTTTAAAAAAATTTATCATTTAGAGATACAGGAATATATCTTGAGAGGAGTATAGATAACAATTATCTTCTAAACACATTTCATTTTGAAAGTTTAGAGTATCAGCGAATTTGTTCTATGCTACTTTTTCTATACAAATTATTACATAATAAAATTTACGGTCTTCAAATTCTTTCACAAACTAATTTTTTCACTTGAAGGATGCATTCTCGACAAAATCCTACATTTTACACTAAACGAGCCAATGTATTGCTAAAATCACCAATACATTGTATGTGCCGTTACTTTAACAAATTAAATCAACATTGTGATATAAACCTTTGCAGACAAAATCAGCAGGTAAAATATGCCAAGCAAACTTTTAGTGTATAATTTTAGCATACTATTTCCTTTACTGATTGTTCTTTTGCGTGTTATGTAGATATACATTTTTTTCTCACCGTTATTTATATTATTTAATTTTTTTCAATAATTAGTTCTTATTTTTTTTCATAACTATTACTAACTCCCTGTCTTTTTTTTAATTTAATTTTCAGTCCTTTTAATAACATTTATTGTACCTTAATGTTTAATAAAAAGATTTGTTACTAAATATTATAAAATGTTTCTTAGTATTTAAGAGTATTTTAAATTGTCCTGTAATTGGGTGTTACCTGTTGGGCAAATAAAGCATATTATTATTATATTCATTCGGAATATCCGATGCCGGACAGTCCTCCCGTGGCCTCCGACGCCTCACGGGAATCGCGCCGGCGCATTAACTACAGCCACTCCCCACATCCCGCAGGGTTAGTGACTGTAGATTCTGGAATCGTGTGCACTAAGTCGACCGAATGACAAAATGACCGCCTTCTGCATTTGGCCTGCCAGCCATTCAGCTGATTTTTGGCAAGCCGTTATGGTTTTTAGTTCCGAGAGCAGCGTAGGCTTTATCCCTCCGAGTACATAGATTATTAGGACGACCATTTTGACTGAGTAGCCTGGGTACAGCACTTGGAGCTCGTACCGGAGATCGCGATAATTGGTCCGTTTCTCCTCCTCCTTCAAGGTGATTTATTTCTCCGCAGGTGCCAAGAACTCAATGACATACATCACCTTGAGTTGATGGTCGAGGAGCACTATGTCAGGCTTGTTGGCTTGGATTAGCCCGACCGTCGGGAACGAGTAGTTCCAGTAAATCCGGCATTTCTCGTTCTCGACAATGGACTCAATATCTTCGGGGACGTAAGGCAGCACTGGTGTCTGGTCTACTCCATACGAGTGCCTTAAATGGTAGTATAGCACTCGCAACGCTGCGTTATGTCGGTGGATGTGGGCCAAAATCGCGTATACGGGGCATGCAGATAGTATGTACATGAGCGATTCCGGCGCCTTACGGCAGGTCCTGCAGTTGATGCCAGGGACCTCTACGCGCCACACGCGGCTACGGTAGACCAAGGTGTTGATACCACCATCTTGGCAGGCCATAATACATTTGGAGCATGATACAATAAATTGTATCATGCATTTGGAGTATTGAGAGGGAGATCAATGAGAGCATGAACTGCATGGCGGCCGCTGTGGCACATTCACGACGGTCAGTCAAATTTTGTATCTAGGGGTCTGCACGAGCATGACCGAACGATTCCCTATAGTGTTTTGAAATGAAAGCACGGTATAGCATTGTTTGACTAACGTGATATTCACAGTCCATTTCCTGAAAAAATAGTTATAGAAGAAATGAATTGTACGCATTTCAGATAATTTTAGAAACTTTAATTTTTATACTAACAGTTTTTTGAATAGTCAATATACGTATATGCAAAAAACCACAAAAGTGCACCTATTCTCTAAGATGGTGGCGACGAACATCTCTACCAATTTTCAAATCTTTTGGAATTATTTTTGTTATTTTTCCTACGTTGACTGGGCTATAAATGATTTTATAAATTCAGTACAGGTTATCAATATGTTATTTTTAGTGTCTTCAAAGATTAATTGATATAACTTCGTGGTTTTTTTTACTGTGGTTGTGGTTACAATAATTAGATATGCTACTGTAGTTTTATCGATCTGAATATTTCATTATAATAAATAAAATAGGTAAATATTATGTTGTAATATTGAGGTTGAGGGAAAAATACAGATGAGATTTAATTTTAATATTACATCATGTCATTAACTTCAAGGTTGGCACTATATTTTAAAGTTTTCATTTCATCCATTTTCAAAAATTAAAAAAAAGTCCTCAAAATTCTGTGAAAATAGGCAAGAATTTGCATTTAAAGTATAATACATTTTTTTACATTACAAGTATGATCCCCATATATGGTCTTTATTTCTAGATATTTCCTATAGAAAATTGGTTAATATCCAATTTCCTCTCGTTTAATTCTAGATAAATTTGTCTAATGGTTAACTTTAAGTTATGTCAATTTTAGTTTTTTTAACACGCTTTTATTAGCTTCACCTGTATGTTTGCTTGTTTGTTTGTTTGTTTGCTTGTTTGTTTGTAACCGACTCTTTGGACTCGATTTTGACCCACTTTAAACGGACAGATTTAATTGAAACTTTGTACACTTACGAAGAACCGGTAACAATACTATAATTTGATAAGTTTATATCATTATCCTGATCAGGATCGCCAATCCTTTCCTCACGAATCCCTGCGTGAAAGCAAAGGCTTAATATGTGAGTAGATTCAGTAATTGTTAATTAGCTCGGTGGTCGAGTGGGTTAAGGCTGTCGACGCGAAACGACTGACTCCTCCGGCGTGAGTTCGAACCTCACGGCTGAAATAAAAAAATATTTTTTTTTTCAGAAATATCTGTTGGATCGTAATATGTTATAATATCAGCATCAATAAGCAATATAAATATAGTTTAAAACAACTAAAAAAACACGCTTTCATAGCACATCAAACTAAAAAGTTAAAAATAAATATAGTTTAAAAAAACTAAAAAAACACGCTTTTAAAGCACATCAAACTAAAAAGTGAAAAATAATTATTAATATAAACTGAAAACAATAATGAACGAAAAATGCTAGTATTATTGTGAAAAAAGCGTGGGGTGCTTTGTGCAATATTTTTCGTATATCGAGCACCCCACGCTTTTTTCACAATAATACTAGTATTTTTCGTTCATTATTGTTTTCAGTTTATATTAATAATTATTTTTCACTTTTTTAGTTTGATGTGCTTTTAAAAGCGTGTTTTTTAGTTTTTTTAAACTATATTTATTTTTAACACGCTTTTATTAGCTTCACTTGTATGTTTGTTTGTTTGTTTGTTTGTAACCGACTCTTTGGACTCGATTTTGACCCACTTTAAACGGACAGATTTAATTGAAATTTTGTACACTTACGAAGAACCGGTAACAATACAATAATTTGATAAGTTTATATCATTATCCTGATCAGGATCGCCAATCCTTTCCTCACGTATCCCGGCGTGAAAGCAAAGGCTTAATATGTAAGTAGATTTCGTATTTGTTAATTAGCTCGGTGGTCGAGTGGGTTAAGGCAGTCGACGCGAAACGACAGACTCCTCCGGCGTGAGTTCGAACCCCACGGCTGAAATAAAAAAAATATTTTTTTTTTCAGAAATATCTGTTGGATCGTAATATGTTATAATATCAGCATCAATAAGCAATATAAATATAGTTTAAAACAAGTAAAAAACACGCTTTCATAGCACATCAAACTAAAAAGTTAAAAATAAATATAGTTTAAAAAAACTAAAAAACACGCTTTTAAAGCACATCAAACTAAAAAGTGAAAAATAATTATTAATATAAACTGAAAACAATAATGAACGAAAAATACTAGTATTATTATGAAAAAAGCGTGGGGCGCTTTGTGCCATATTTTTCGTATATCGAGCAACCCACGCTTTTTTCACAATAATACTAGTATTTTTCGTTCATTATTGTTTTCAGTTTATATTAATAATTATTTTTCACTTTTTTAGTTTGATGTGCTTTAAAAGCGTGTTTTTTAGTTTTTTTAAACTATATTTATATATATTAACGTCCTGGCGGAGTTCAGCACATTGCTATTCCAGCAATCAACCTGGACAGACACTCTCAACAACCATTCCCTGACACTTGCCAGATACCGCAGCTGAGACTCGAACTCAGGAGAGACAGTGATTAGCTGTGTTCTGCCACAAAACATAACTCTAGCCAACTGTGCTACCGTCCCGGCAGTTTAATACCGCAGATCATAACCTGTACGGTATTTAGTTATGAGGAAAAGTGAAATGTAAGATGCATTGTTGAAATGGGGACGCCTAGTATACGACTATAAATGGACTACAGGAAATTTGCATTGTATTGCATTTATTTGTATAACTTACTATTATTTTATTAGTCATGTAATTCCATAATATGCCACTATGTTCAGAAAGTACAAAGGAAACTTTTCTTAAGAGAATAAAATTTTGATTTTGACTTTTGATTCGGAGATAATACGAGGCAAACGCAAATATTGTCTGAATTTAATTAGATTTTAAAGCATTTCAAGCCGAAATATTACCATTTTAAGTTCTCTTATAAATTATACAAAATATTTGCTTTACAATATCTTTTCTTAAAATATAAAAAAATAGTAATTTGTCTCTTCATTGTCACGATAGGCCTAAGGATTAACTCACAGCGCCAGCAGTTGAAACTGATCGCGCAGAGACGTATTCGTGCGAACCACAGTTCGTGGGTACAAGCTTCCACTGTGAGTTAAACCAAACCCTTTCTTAAGCTTTAGGGCCCTTTTACATGACTATTTTTGATGGCCTCAGGATTTTGAATCGTCAGTACAAACGCATTAATTTCATATAAAATCAGCTTGTAATAACGAAACCCCCACAGAAGTCAAAAAAAGCATATTTATGCACTCTACTATGTATGTATAGTAGGAGAAATCGCTTTAGTGACAGGACGTGCGGGGTAAGACGCGACATGAGGGTGGGAAATGTCTAATACATGACATCTTCCGTCTTTTACACCGCTTACATAAAGCGCGAAAGATGACTGTTGTTTTTGTTGGCTCGAGGCAGACTTTCACTTACATTCTGTGATACTTCAGGTCCGTACTTAGTTTTGTTACCCACTTGTTTAGCAGTGCGTTTTAGGAGAAAGTGTAATATTATAAGTAATAATTATTTTATATCTGTTTATTTGCTCGTGTGTTTTTGAAAATAATATAAAAAGGTTATCGTGTTGCAGTGCGTTGTGTGATACATGGTAAGTGTAATATTATTATAAGTAATAATTATTTTATATCAGTTTATTTGCTGGTGTGTTTTTGAAAATAATTTAAGAAAGTTATCGTATTTAATGTAAAAATGTTTCAACCATGGGAGGCCTCTAAGTCTACATCTTATTGTATTTGTGAAAATTGATAGTGATTACAGTGATAAAAAAATCAAAGTTCATCAGTGTTTTCAGTAAGAAAAATATCGGCTACATTTGACCGAGCAAGAGCAACAAATTTACTTTAATGTTTACAATAATCTTTTGATGCGACAGTGAAATACGAGGTAAAACATCATCTCTGACTAATGTTCCTTGTCCCACAATACACAAACTGGTGAAAGAAGGTGCCGTCTCAAGAAAACTACGATCCGACACCGGTCAATGGAAAACTCTGGACCCATCGTTAGCAAAACTTTTAAGAACTTTAGTGTACGACGCGTATCAGAAAAATGAAATTCCAAGTATTGATGTGATAGACAGAAAACTAAAAGAAATGGATTATCATCTAAAATATATCAAAAGAACTTTAAGAACTTGGCTGAGTGATATTGGATTTAAATATCAAATTATTAATAAACACATGGCGATTATGGAAAGCAGACGAATAATGGATTTGCGAGATTCATATCTAGAAGAGATAAAAGAACTCTGAAGGGAAAATAGACCAATTTATTATCTAGATGAAACTTGGTATGATACTCATGGCACTGTAAAAAAAGGATGGTTTGATGAATCTAGGAAATGTCAACCAATCTCATTGCCTCCTAATAAAAGGACTCGGTTGATTATATTACACTGTAGATCAATTGATGGATGGGTTGATAATGCATTGAAATTGTGCGGAAATTGTGCTGTAATGTGGATTACCACAAGAACATGGAGGGAGAAAGATTTGAGCAATGGTTTGAAAATACCATAATTCCAAAATTAAAACCGAATAACATTATTGTTCTTGACAATGCAAAGAACCATTAAAGACAATTGTATAAAATTCCTAACAAGAGTTCTACAAAGCTGGGGTTACAGTTTTTTTTTAATGGAACATGATCTCCATTATGGAGAAAATTATAACGAAGCACAACTCTTGGAAGTCCTGCAAATGAAAAATTATGAGAAGTATGTTATAGATACTGTAGCGGAGAGATATGGCCACAAAATGTTGATGTTACCACCATAATTCTGTATTTTCAACCCGACTGAATTAATTTGGTGTAAATTGAAGAAAAATATCAGAAAAGGAAATGCTTTTCCGAAACTCGATAAAAAGTCGTAGAGTTAATTCAAAATGAAGTGTCGAAAATTAACAAGGGAGATTGGGAAAAATAATTAGGAAAGTAATTACAACTGAGGACGATTATTTAAAAATTGCTGAATGTCATATAAATGGTAGAAATAAATTTATTATAAATTTGAACGAGAATAGTAGTTCATCTGAAATTGAAGAAGAGGATGAGGAAGACGAGGATTCAGAGGAAGAAGCGATGTGAGGTGAGGTAAAGTGAAGCGATGTGAAGTGAAGAAGTGAATTTTGTGATATCAATTGTATTATTTATTTACATTTTTGTGCTTTCGTAGTTAAGTGCTTGAGAAATATTCTTTTTCAAGATGTTATTCTTTATTAATATTTTTTTTCCATTTTGACAAAAATACGTACTCTGCTTTTATTATAATAATAATTTGAATATTAGAATTTATTTTTAGTTTATTTATTGAGAAAAATATTTATTTCTGTTATTATTTTGTGAGTATATTTTTTGTTTTTATTTTGTTTTTGAAGGTTTTCTTGTTACTTTTAAAATAATTTCTTTATTTTATACTAATATTTCATCCTTTCCTGGTAAAAATTCTCATACCTCCTCGCGGTTCTTGCTGAGTAGTAACAATTAATATTAAGCGAACTTGAATTTTGCATCTCGCGGACGACCGAGCAATACCTCCTAACTAAGAAACAGCTGATTTTACAGGAGCAACATAAAACTGTTTGTTAAAGCAGGTTGTGATGTGTTCAAAATTTTTTCATGACAACTATTTTATTGTCTCTTTAGTTTTTTGGAAATAACATAAAATTGCATATATTTAATTTTTTGTATAAAGGAAATGAGATAGGACAAATTGCTTCTTAAAAATTTTTAAAATAGGAGTAATTGCTGCGGAATCTTTAATAATTTAGGTGAAATTGCTAGGAAATATAAACTTTATAAAAAGTAAACATTAAGTCAATTAAAAACATTCATAAATTAGCAAAATATTTATTTTTTAAATCATTAAAAAACAGAGGTAACTGGTCAAGTATAAAAAATATCGTCTTTTACAGAATTGGTAAGTATGACTTATTATAGTGACTTGAGTATAGGCTAAACATATAAGTACTTGAAACATGGTTGTATTAAAAGAATTTTAATGAATTAGTATTATTAATAAAGATTTAAGTATGTGACAAGTTGTCGTAAAATTTATGTGTATCTTTGGGTAAAACGGTTTTTAAATCTTGAAGGTGTTGCCATTTTTCTTTTTTTAATTTTACAAGATGAGTTTAACAGTTGGGGGTATTCCAAAATGGACTCTATGAATTTACGTCGCACTGGGAGGTCAATGAAGTCCATGTCATAGTCAAGTTTTACTTGAATTCCTCCTTGTGGATCATATTTTATGACTTTAATATCATTAATAAGTAGCGATTTTCCCTGGTCGTATATTGGAATACCTTAAATGTTTTGAATGGGAATAGTCTTTAAAGTGAAGAAAAGTCCAGTATTTTTACATTATATGGTATGTGTAGTCAATACTTTAAATTCAATACTTTTATTTCAAGTTAACACGTTTTTCTACAATTGTTAAACTGTTGCTAACTAAACTGAGCACAAAAACCTACATTGAAAAAGTAAACGAATGAGCAATACAGATAAATCCGGCTCTGCGTTCTGTAACGTCTTACCCCGCACGTCCCGTCAGAAAAGCGATTTCTCCTACTATACCGCTCCTGGGAATGTCCTATGTATTAAGTCTATAATATAACACAAATGCTTCTTGTTGGGTGTTCGCTATTATTGAACGTGATTTAATTTTTTTTTCCTAGAAACAATCTTAACAAATATAACTCGTTTAATTATGGATTATCTCAAATTTGTTCTCTTTTTAGAAAAAAAGTATGTTGCTTGTAGGAAACCACAATCGCGCTACAGCGTTCGTGTGGTTGCCAAGCAACATATTTTGTTTCTCATAATCGAACGAATTTAATTTTCGATAATCATTCATTAAACATACACTTGTATTACTTGCGATAATTTTCGGCAACTAGGTACTTATGCATTTTAGCCATTCTGGATTAAAACGTGCGTGGATTAACCCACACACAGATTTACTGTTTAATCCAATGGGAATTATACACATTACAATTTATCCAATCACAAATATGCTCTTAAAAATGTATTTAACCAATCAAGTTCGAACTATATTTTGTTTTTTAATTGTCAGACTAATTAAAACCAAAGTTTAATCCTACTCAAATAGTTGGATTAATTATTTTTATTTATAAATATCAGTGTGTCTGTAAAACTGATTTATTTATGCATAAATATGTTTATACACCGTTGTACTGATTTAAAAGTGTGTAATATCACAGAGTGACCAATTAGTTGTTTATTGCAATAGTTCTGTGTTTGTTGCTGTGGCTGCTAAAAGCGGGTTAAAGCTTATCATGGTTTAGATTTGTATTTAGGAATATCTATTTGAAAAACTTGTTATGTTAATGTATCTAGAAAAATATAAAGGGTGTTTCAAAATCATGTAGCCAAACTGTTACAGTAAGGAAATGGGCTCAATAAAAAACGAAAACTAAATATTATTTGGTCAATAAATAATGCATATTAAAGGAGTTGCACCTTTTCAAAGATGAAGGAAAAAAATTTTGGTTGTGCTGTAACCCAGAAGTCATAACAGAAATGTATACCAAAA